CTCTCTTAAAATCGTCACGTTTTATCCCAAGCCTTCTCCTTTAATAGATGGCCACGTTTTACCCATAGCCTACCATCTTCAATAGATAGCCACGTTGCGAAAAGATAAACCTCTTAAATTTAACTTAGGGAAATATCTCATTATCATCTATTTTTAACTTCCATATCTCATGAGATCCAAGAATTGAAAATATTACATATAAGTAAAATGTCTCTATCTTTTTTATCTTACAACCCCCTGGACCCCTTTGACCATAAATTTTTTACTCAAACAAGCATTAAAATGACACCATATTCAAACTCCATATCTCTCAATCTAAAACTCCATCTCTCTCTCTCGTCGCTTCTCGGTGAGTTTACCAGCCAAGGGGTTTAGCTTGAGCTCGAACATGAGCACGACTTCTTATGTGTAAAAGAGAGATGGATTTTTAGTAGAGAGAGAGAGAGATGGAGTTTGGGTTTTAGAGAGAGATGGAGTTTTAAAGGGAGAGATGAAGTTTCAGTTTTAGGGAGAGAGATAGACGATGAAGTGAGAGAGAGATAGACGATGAAGTGAGAGAGATATGGAGTTTGGGTTTTAGAGAGAGATGGAGTTTTGAGAGAGAGAGACGATGACGTGAGGGAGAGATGGAGTTTTAAAGAGAGAGAGAGAGATAGAGTCATTTCATAAGTTGTTGGGGTCAATAATACATCGTCAAAAGGATTTAGGGGTTTGGAAGATAGAGTCCTTTTGCTTACAAGTAATATTTTCAATTCTTGAGTCTAATGAAATATATAAGTTAAAAATAGGAGATAATAGGATATTTTCCCTTTAACTTATCCTATTTAGATATTTTCCCTTTAACTTATCCTATTTATACTCCTAAACTAACCACCCAATTGATTAATATCAATTCATTCACGTACAAAATAAACTCCCACTTAATTATCCCTACACACCTCTTATTCTTAAGTTAAAGATAAACTCAAAATTCCTAACAATAATAATAATTTCTCTGCATCATACATTCTCTCGATCACCCTCCAACCGATTCATCTGGCAGTAATGACCCCTTTAACAGTTATCACATATCCATTGTGGGTATGAGGATTACGAAATGCCTTCCCAAATATTAATTTTATTTTTTAATGAAAATTGAGTGTTACCAACTCCAAAGAAGCGATCTTCTATTTGGGTTTTTCTTCTTTTTTTTTTGCAGTAGTATACCATGATCCATACACACATGGAGAAGCTGTGGTCATAAGTGTCAATCACCATCGAATCAACAGATGGACGGTGATGGATAGAGTAATGATGCGCCACTTGGGCCATCCCAATTTAGGTTGGTCAATCTTTCTTTTATAGAGCATCCATCATTTTTTTTTTTTTTTGAGTAGTTCAAATGAATCAAACTTGAGATGTAGTGTTGCTAACAACAACAAATAACCACTCAAGCTCAAGCCCGATCCTTACGGATGATAACACATTTTTTTCCCCAAAAGAAGAGCAGCTTTTTCTTCCTAAATCAATAAACAGGCAACTCCAACTTGAAAGGGGGCACAAACACATAGAGACCCGGCACCTACCTTGCCTTATTTTATCATGCTTGTCACCATCATCTTCAAAGCCTTTTTCCAACTAATTGGGTTGGTATTCTATCATTCTTATAAGGGTGCAGTTTGCATACGAATGCATTTGTAGGTGTAGAGGTAAGGTGTACCT